ATTAAAGGATGCACAGCATGGAAGGAGACAAGACATGAGCTTGTTTTGGGGCAAAATTCCTCATGTGCATGCCATGTTAGCTCTGCCATGGTCTCTAAATGGAGTTTCCTCTCAGACAGGAGAAATGTCACTGCGTGCCACATGTTTCTCATGGTGCAGATGGGGCTTTGAGAGAAGCTGCTAAAGGCTGGATCCCAAAAATACCTGAACTGCTTTGAAGATCTCAGCTTCTCGTGTCATTAGAAATTCATAACCTTCAATGAGCAATGCATGGAACAGCTAATCGAGCTCCAGAAATTGCTATTTCCACATTTTGGTTGTTATTGTTCCTCCCAGAGTTAGAATTGCAAGTGATGTAGTTGCTTAGAGACTACTTTATGGTTATTCAGTAAACATAAATTTTTTAATTGTGACAGTGACAGGTGTGTTGCATTGCATGGATAAAAATGTATGGGAAGAAAAAAATAATAATTAATTGATGGTTACCAGCTCACAAACGTGCCTGATGGGATTTTTGAACTTAAAATAAGTTAGGCAGGTGTTGACTTTGCTGTATTATGGGGTTTTTTTCCTCATAATAAATATTTGTTTCCTCAAAATTTGGCCAGTTGGATGTTGGGCAGTTCTCACCAGATACAAATGCATACGTTTTAATTGATTAAAAAAAGTAAAATGTGAGATACTCTGTTCAAGTCTACTTAACATATGAAAAGTGTTTCCTTTTTTTAATGTTTGTGAATTAGACACACTTTTTTAGGTGATCCTCTCCTCCTGCACTTGTGTTTACTGGTGAGATTGAAGTAGATCAAAACAGCTTTTATGGAAAAGGGGAAAAACACCCTGAAAAGAGAATTTCTTGTCAGGTGTGAGCTGACCCCTGTGGCAGGATTTTGTTGCTCTGACTCTGTGCTGAGTGTCTGATCAGCTGAGGCAGCAGGGGCATTACCAGATCAGGTTCAGCACCTGGATAAATGTGTCTGCAGCTGAAATAAACCCCACAATAGACCTCTCTTCGGTGCCTCTGCCACAGCCCAGCCTTCCTGATGGATGTTAAGAAGCCTTGGTAGTGTTTATGAGAAACATCAGCTTCCCTAATCGTTCATTGATCTGTTGTTCTGGGCGGAATGATGAAGTTTTCGCTGTTATTTTGCTCTGCTTCACTCAGATTCACTTGATTCCAACCAAAGGACGATTTAAGATGGCAGGGCACAATTTTACTGCCATTTACTTCCAGCTGACAGGATAATTCTGGTTTTGCTGTTGGGAGCTTCAAGTGCTTCATCTGTGCTCAGCTAATATTAGTTGTAATTAAGGGAATGGGCTGTCTAGAGCTCATTTTTACAGTTCATCACCTGAAAAAGAACCTCTAAAAATAACCCTTTTTGCTTTTGGTGTCATTTTGAGTTTCTTCCTCACCCTCTGCAGGGCTGCCCATCTTAGGGGAGGGCAGGGGAGGGCAGCACCTTCACTGGCTCTGTTCTTACCTCAGGGTAGCTATTTTTAGGTTTAAAAAACAAAATATTAGCTATGTTGGAGCTCATAGAGTCTTTTAGGAGACTGCTTTATAGACTGATGTGGCTGTTCCTGGGGTGCAGGACACTGCTGGACACAGAGACAGCAAACTGGGGAGTACAAGTGCTCATGTCCTGTCTGAAAATCGAGATATGGGGCTTTTTTCCTGGTAAATATATCAGAACCCTGTGGTTTGGTGTGTGTTTTTTAGGCAGCTCATTAGATATGTCAAGGATTAATAATTTTTCCCCCCAACACTCCTGTTTCTGCTGGAAGTTTGTCCTTATCCAGGGGCTGATGCTTGACAGGCTCAGTTTCCTTTTTATCTTTGCTGAGGGACAGACTCATGGGAAATGTCTTTTTGCAAATGCCTGCAAAGCCTAGCAGGAGAATCAGACTGGGAGAGGATGGCATTCACTGCTGTGGGTTATTCCACCTTCTTGGAAAAACAGATGGAAGCTGGAGCAAAGCAGCTCAAACAGAGCATTCAGGTACCTGAGTCCAGGACACCTGCCCAGGGAAGTGTCCAGCCTTGAATTCAAAGGATGAGAGGTTCAAATCACACCTGACCTTGGCACGAGGTGCAGGGGAGGAGATCTGGCTGCTGGTCCCATCTGGCATGAGGATTTGGGAGCCAGTGTGGAAGCCAGCAGTGCAGTGACTCCAGCAGGGTTGGGAGCCAGCTCCAGGTGGGCAGGTGTCCATTCGCAGTGAGACTCATGTTAAAACTTGCAGTGCCTGGCAAAGTGACACTGTTGGCCAGGAGTGGCTGAAACTTGAGGAGCATTCTGCATTCCCAGTGTATTTTTTGCAAGATGGACTGTTAAGAAAACACCCTGAAAACAAGAAACCAGTTGGAAACCATCCTGCAAAGCAGGTTATTGTGCTGCATTTTTCATTCCTATCTGAATTTAAAACCCTGTCTTAACAGACTCCTAGATTTGGTTGGTCAGATGGTTGTTTCCTAGGAAATTAGAAACCCTTTCTGGGTTTATTTTCATAATTTTGTTTTGCAAGCATGAACAGTGTCCCCAGCAAATAAATGTGTGTTGCAATATGGTGGAAGCCATGGGAATGGAAAGAACCTTCTGGTTTGTGAAAAGACTTGCCATAATTTGTCATTTCAGTTGGTTAATCCAAACAAAGTGCAGAGTTTCTGAGGCACCTCACAGTGATCAGCAACAGAACTTTGTCATTTTCCCTGGTGGGCTATTTTTTTTTGTTCTTTTGGCTTTCTTATTTTTTTGGCTTTTTTTTTTGGTCAAGTTTGGAATGAAGATTATTCTGCTCTGTGTGTATGTGTGGAATTTCAGTCCTGTGCTGAATTGCAGCTCTTTCAGGTGGAATTGCTGTTTGGCAGTAAGACATACCCTAAAAATAGAAAATGTGGTTATAAGTGACAACAATTGGCAGGGAGGACCCATTCAGATGCAATTTTGGAACAGCTTTTAATTTTTTCCACTCAATTCCAAGTTAAACATCAATTTAAATTAATTAGAGCAATCACAGTATCCCTAGAATATCAGTGGAGAAACTGAAGCCGTGAGTGAAATTTAAGTGTTTCCTGAATTCTGAGGAGACGCTAAAAAACCCAGCTTAAAGAAATTTTTTGCATATGATGAAAAGCAAATTCCTGACCAAACTGGCTAAGCTCAAAAGTCTGAAGGCAAAGAGATATCATGAAAATGCTGTAAAGCTTCTGATTATAGTGGAATCAGTGTCCCAGGGTATAATGCAGCTCTACATTGAATACTTACCTGCTGAACTGTACTTCTCAACCCACCTCCACTCACTGGGTTCTCATCAGAGTCCTGTCAGAACACTGGGCTTTGTTTAGATGCCAAGCAAGTCTTTTCAGCTTTTTCAGCAGCTTCAGCTGAGTACAGATGCTTGACTTCAGAAGGACAGCTAGTACCTAGATTTTGTGGCCTAGAAATCATTCCTTATGCACACTGCCACACGTATTAATAACCCTGCAGGCTTTTATAAGCCCAATTAAAAGGCTTGTGCACACTTAAATATGAAATCATGGCAGAGCACTGAACCAGCAAAGCAAGATCCTGTCCTTGGTGCTGCAAATCCATTGCTGCCTTTCTTTATTAATGATACGTACACGACACATTGAATTGTCTGCCTGCTGTTGCTTGTCGGGTTGTTTTTATTACAGTATCGACGGGAGTCCCCGCCACGTTGGTTGTAGTCTGGGCACGTTACCCTGAGCAGAATTTTTCTTTCAGTGTTTTGTTTAAGGTATTGACTTTGCCAAAGGGAAGGGAAAAGTGTGTGCAGCTACTTAAAGCACACAAGTCGTGGTATCAATTTCTGTCCATTAAAATATGCACACGCACACAAACACACGGCTGTACGGTGGTTGCAGGCACGGGGTTAGGTGAGCTTTGAGAAACAGACTCCAGAAACCCTCTGCTACATGGAGATTCTGTTTCCAGGATCTGGCCAGGAGCATCCTCCAGCCTGTGCCAAGCCCTGCTGAGAATGGTGGGGTCATTGAAATGACATTTTTCAAAGGTATTTGCATATTTCTAGGTCATTTCTTTCAATTCCTTAGAATGAACTTTATTTTCCAAGGGAGCATATTACTCTGGTTTTGTGTGTTCTGTATTTTTTTTTCCCAACAACATCTTAGTTCTGTTAATCTTTTGGACTTTGAAAAAGTTTTCTAGTTATTGGGTTTTGGGGTGTTAATTCCTGAATATAATAAGCAGGAGGGTTATTGAGCAGTTCATCTAAAGCCAGTGAAGATTTTGGCCAACTCAAAGGTGCAGCAATCCTTTTGCTAAAGTTCTGGATAGCAGTTTTGATTGAAGACCAGGATATATGAGCGTGGATGGTTCCAGCACTGCCAGATGAAACTTGGAGACGAATCTTTGCAAATGTTCAGTGCTCAGTTCCATTTTAAAGCATACAAAATGGGTGTTAATACATATGTGTGTTATCTTTATTTCCTCTTCCAAAGTGGCCCCCCCTGTCTCCCATCTGTTCCTGTTTGATGGTGAGCTCTTCCAGAGGGGTTTTCTATGTTATGTCACTTCAATCCCACCCTGAAATACACTGTACAACACAGAGTTACTTGCAGACAGACAATCTCATCTGAGCTGTGGCATTGCCCCAGTGCATTCTGTTCATGTACTGCAGAGCCCTCTGACCTGCTCTCTGCTTTGAGTCATCCTTTGGTGAATCCTTAATACCTTACAGGTAATTTCTGCTCAAGTTTCAATAAACTGATAAAAATGGCTACCTCTTTCTTTTCTACCTTTTAAACAACTCTTTCCAGTTAACTCACTACAATTAAAACAGGAATGTGCTTGAAATCACTGAGTTGAAACAAAATTTGTTTTCCGGGTGGTTTGGTTTGGTTTTTTTTTGTCTTGGGTAGCATCATCTTGTCCTAAAGCATCCACTGCCTTGGAAATTCAGGGCAATTAAAAACAGACTGTGTCTGATGTGTTTGCTTAACTTCTGCCTTTCAGTCTATCCGAGAAGTCACGGGCTACGTGTTGGTGGCTCTGAACCAGTTTGAGTACCTGCCCCTGGAGAACCTGCGCATCGTTCGTGGCACCAAGCTCTACGAGGAGCGATACGCTCTGGCCATATTCCTTAACTACAGGAAGGATGGCAACTTTGGACTCAGGGAACTTGGCTTGAGGAACCTGACGGGTAAGTGAAACTTGGAAATGTGGTGGATTAGTTGCAAGGAAGAAAATGAGCTTGTTGAGTATTTCCCCAGCGCCCTCAGCCACTTGCATTCTGCAGGAGACTGAGGTACCACACAGCCTGGCAGGGGTTTGTCGGTGCATCATCATTTTTTTTGGTTCACAAAAGCACTTCTCTGCATAATGATCAAAGGCTGTCCCTGAGAGTCATGGCAAGAGCATATTTGAAACAAAAACAGTTGTTGAAAGAGTATGTGAACTTTTTTCTGTGTGTCGATATCATGAGCATGTTGGTTCCTTGTGATCCTTGATTATTGCACATGTGTTGCTTCAGGTGCTGGGTATTTTCTGCCAACTTAGCTTTAACATTTTTGTTTATTTATATAATATATATATATTTATAATTTTACTTATAAATGTTTATTTATAAAATATATATTTTTTAAAATTTAATTTTAGAACTCCCTTTTCTAAGCAAAAGTAGTGCATTACATATAGTGAGAAAAGTGCTTATTTTCTTTTTTTTTTTTTTTTTGAGACAAAAATGTAAGCAAAGTCCACAGATTCATGTTTACCTGTTAATTCAGGGCTGGATCATGCTGTGGGGTAGATCAACAATTAATTTCCTCTGTCTGAGGATCCAGAGTCAGTGGTTTGGGAGATTAAAATTTACTAAGTATCAATGGACTGTAACTTAATAAAGGGCAAGCTGTGGCTCTTCTTAGGGAGATCACTGGAAGTATTTTATTTATATCTGGTTCCTCATCAGCTATGATAATTTCTGCTCTAAACTGTGGTAATTTTGATGTGGCCTTGCATCTTCTAGTGGCTGAAAGCTGACTGAAAATCACTGACTTGAGCTGGCTGTGGAGATTGAACCTCAATAAGGAGAGGTGGGAGCCTTCTGAATTATATTTAGGCACCCTTCCCTATCTGTTTTTTTTGTCTGTCAGTGCTCAGAGTAGCTTACAGCTCGCTGTTCAGCCTCACCAGGCTTTCAAAAACAGGAGGGAAAAGAAAGCCTGAAATATTTTACAAAATAAACCAATTTTGGATGACTCTGATTAGGCTCTTTCCTCTGGTAATATTTTTGACAATTTTCATTACTGAGACCATCATGCCAATATCAGAGTGCTTCCAAAATGTCTCTATAATCCCTGCCATCTACTACTTTTCACTCTGTCACTGTCATAGTCCAATTTCTTCCTCTTCTGTTCCCATATTTCTTCCCACCTTTCTGATACAGGGAGTTCATTGTGACCGTCTGTGCCTTCACATCATACAGAGCCACAGCACTGGGTGATAACAGCATTATCTCTTTCTTTGTGTACATTTTCTGGTCTTTGAGTCTCAAAATGCCTTGTAAAGATACCAGGCTGGGTGAAACTGAGACAGAGAGGTGAGGTGAGGCCAGAAAATGATGGAAGTCTTTCCTCTTGGGTCTGAGGTGGTTCTGCCAGGTGAGAGTTGTATTCTTAGGGCTCATTTAGCCATGGCTTTGCTGCTCAGCAGGGTAAAAAAAAACTTATCTTCTAGGCTTCTGCTCAAATTTTCTTCTTGAACCATCATCCCTCTGCCAATTGGCAGTTCCTCAGACTCCAGAAATGCCCTGTGGGAGCTGCTGTGACATGACAGACACAGCACCAAAAGTGCCCAGCAAGTGGTTTCACTTTCTTTTTAAGTGTCTTAAGAAAACTGGCCTTAGCTCAGCCTGTGAATCTCTTCTTACATGAGATCATCACAGCCACTTCTGATTTAGGTCCTTACAAAGGCCTCTGATGGGATTATTTGACTCAAAATAAATTGTTGCCTTCTGGAAGAAAAGTGCCCCAATAACACCAGCTTGTCTCTGTGGAGCACTTAAAATAGCTTCTGGGTGCTGAATGTGAGTCAGTATGTGCTTGAAAATACTCTTAATGTTTTCTAGATAACATACCAAGGCCTCATGAGTCCCTCCAGCAGCTGTTCAGTGAGCATTTTGTGCACTGGTGAAGATGCACCGGGGCTATTTTAACCCACAACCTGCCTCTTGTTGCGCATGCTCTTCCTGGAGCGCGTTCATACTTCATTAATTTTCCTGACACATCCTTAGCACTGGTAGCTGCATAAAAATAACTGGTGGATGTGGGAGCTGGTGATGTTGCAAGGCTGTGATGGATCAGCTGTGTCAGAAGCCATTCTTTAGGTTTAGCCCAGAAAGCAGGGGTGAGCTGCTGCGCTGAAGAATCAGCCTCCATGAGCTTGCATTCTTCAAGTCCACGGCAGATTTGAAGAGCCTGGCTTTGAATCATGCATCTCTTCCACTTGAGTAAAATATAACATGGCTCTTGTCTTGCATGAGAGGAATTGGCATTCCAGGGCTTATGCCTTCCTCACTGGAGTTTGGGAAATTCTGTTTTTATTCGTGCAGTGCTGGATGATAGGCTCCTGAGGGTATTTCTGCCTGGTACCACACAGTATACAAACACAAGCCCTACTCCCTGTGTTAAATAAATGAGGAAGCTGCTCTCACCTGCAGATTCTCCTCAGACACAGGGTTTCAGCCTCCTGTGCTGTACCACTGCAGTATTTTCTATGTGTTGTTAACAGCTGTGTTTTTATTGCCAGCTATGTCTATCAAGTTTTCATATTTAAATGTAACTTTAAATGCTTGAATTTCCTCCCTTGCACTATAAAAAAATGACAGCTGTGAAGGCAGTTAGTTTTATCTCACACAGAAAACATGATCCAATTCTCACTCATGATGTCTGTCAAACCACAAGGGAGTTTTGTTTGTGTAGCTCAGCCTGGGACTATGTCCTAAAATGCATGTGACACTTGCAAAAAATCTTAGCTATAAAAATCCTGTTCTCACTTGTTATAAAAAACTTAGTCAATGGTTCCACAAACGTGTCAAAACTGAACTGACACTGAACTAATGAAGTGGCTGCTGCCATCTCAGCTGGACTCAGTGTGCAGATCCAGCTGCCAAGTAGCCTCACAGTCAAGAGGAGGGTTTGACATCCTGGCTGTGTTCCTGTGAGAGGAGCAGGGTAAATGGTGCTGAGGGAGAAGGTGTGCCAGCTTCTCCCAGGAAACACTGCAGATCCCCAGGCTGTCAGCTCAGCTTACCCAGGGAAAGGGCAGCAGCAGCAGTTTGGAGCACCCCAAAGAGAGAGGGCACCTGATCTCATTGCAGCATTTATCTGCCCAAGAGAGGGGAAAGAGGGAGAGCTCACAAGTGCCAGAACTCTTTAGGAAGTATCCCATATTTATATTTTCTCCTGTGAAGATGAATAAGAGACATCTACAGCAAATGATGTCTCTTTGAGCAGTGACAACCTCATCGTCCCTGTTGGCTTTGGGGACGGCAGCTTCCATGCTGTCAAAGAATTCATCCCTTGAATTCTTTGAATATATTAGAATGAAGTGGACTTAGCAGTGATAAGTGCAGTAACACAAAAAAAAGGAAACAAACCCACAGCAAAATATTTAGGGTTTTCTTTGTTTTTCAGGAGTGCAAATGAATGATGAATTAAGATAGCTGAGGTTCAAGTGAGAAATGGATATTGCAACTTAAACAATTTGATCAGTGACAGCCAAACAAAGGAAATCTAATTTGATGAGCAGGAGAATAATAAAGGACCATTTTCACAGGTGTAGAAAGTAAATTTTGTAAAACTGTAAATTTCCCTTTCAACAGATTTTTGTAATTGATTTTATATATTTTAATTTCTGATTAAATTTGGTTTAAATTTGTCTGCAGAGCAAAATTTTAATGATTGATGGTTATTTCTATAATGTTTTCAGTATTTTTCCCCCCCCACAGGAAACTACAAATGTTAAAGGGTACTTTGGAGTGCCATCACTCCTTAAAAAGGCAGCTTTTCCAGCAGGTTGTTTTTTTTTTTTTGTTTTCCCCTTAACAATCTCATTTACTGCAATTATATTGCAGCTCAGGTTGGAGGGATGGGAGGAGTCAGATTTTGTTCAGTGCTCCTTTTTTGGACCTAACACTTCTTTGGAAACCATGCTCAGATGTCTGTGCAGGACCCAAGGGATGGCACACAGGGCATTTTTTTTGCAGCGGGGATTAAAGCCACCCCCTTTTTTCTTGGCTTGATCACAAAGATTGTGCCAGCAAGAGCTTTCCTTGGAGGACACGAGAGCCAGCTCTGAATTCCTGGTGTTCATGTTGCTCAGGGGTGCCTGATGTTCCTGGTGTTCCTGGTGTTCAGGGGTTCCTGGTGTTCCTGGTGTTCCTGGTGTTCAGGGGTTCCTGGTGTTCCTGGTGTTCAGGGGTGCCTGGTGTTCAGGGGTTCCTGGTGTTCCTGGTGTTCCTGGTGTTCCTGGTGTTCAGGGGTGCCTGGTGTTCCTGGTGTTCCTGGTGTTCCTGGTGTTCAGGTGTTCCTGGTGTTCCTGGTGTTCCTGGTGTTCAGGTGTTCCTGGTGTTCCTGGTGTTCAGGGGTGCCTGTGTGTGACAAAGGCGCATCCCCGCATTCCTCAATCGGATTCTCTGCATGAGCCAGGTAGAAAGCGATGTGGAACTTGCCTCAGGCTGCCTGTGCAACAGGTGGGCGAGGTACCATCGCATCTGTAACCTCGGAGAGGGGTTGCTAGGATACGTGGAGGCGTGAGGAATCGCTTTAAAAATCCCTGCGGTCCCCGTGCGTGCCGCAGGAGCTGCCTGCAGGAGAGGCTGCCCAGGCGCGCTGCTCTCCTCCATCCTCGGGGCTGCATTCACATCCCATGCCAGGAATGGGAGATATTTCGAAAAAAGGAACAACTCCTTTCCCAAGGGAAGTGTGGAGGATTCTCTGTGTGCTGCCACAGACCTCGGGGACGTGCAAAGAACCAGCCCCGAGTCGCCCTTGCTCGCCCTGTCCCTTTGGAGAAAGGGGAGGAGGTTTGTGGCTGCCCCCAGGCTCAGAAATACGAGTGTGACTGCTGGAGCATGTCTGTCTTTTCTCCCCAGGGGGAAAAAAACTAAAAAATCATCCCCTTCCTGCTGCTGCTCTCCTCAGA